CTGAGCTGGGAGTCAGGGCTGGTCTCTCACTGACTGAGCTGGGATTCGGGGCCAGTCTCTCACTGACCGAACTAGGAGTCAGGGCTGGTTGTTGTAAACCTACCAGGCTTGCGAAGATGTACTGATACCCTCGGATGTGTTTTCCAATGCTTATGATCTGTAAGAGACAGAGAATACAACATTTTTTTAACGAGCTCAAATGGCCTGTCCCATGTGATATTTTAAGGGATTTTTTTCCCCCTCTCTCTTAGGATCTTTGCTCTGTGAATTTTTCTTTCCCTGAGGAAAGTGGAGCCAGAGTCATTGAATACAGCTAAGGCTGAGTTGGACAGATCACTGCTCGACAAGGCAGTCACTGATTATATGGTAAAGTGAAGTTGAGGCTACAATCAGCAGCCATGATCTTGTCAAATGGTAGAACATTATCGAGATGCTGAATGTCAGCGGCTGGCCAGCATTGGTTACTCATTCCTTGTTGTCCTCGGGAAGGTGCTGGTGAGCTACCTTCCTGCACTGCAGCAGTCCATTTGATGCAGATTCACCCAACAGGGCTGTTAGGAACAGGGTTCCAGGATTTTGACACAGTGACACTGAAGGAACGGTGATATACTTCCGAATCAGGACAATGTGTGGCTTGGAGGGGGCTTTACAGGTAGTGGCTACAAAGAACAGTACAGCACAGAAACAGGCCCTTTGGCCCTGCAAGCCTGAGCCAACACAAAACACATTTCTAAACTAAAAAACTACTGTGTCTACACAGTCCTCTATTCCCTGCCTACTCATCTATCCGTCAAGCTGCCTCTGAAACCTCCACCATCTCCTCCAACAGTGCATTCCAAGTACTTACCACCTCCTGTGTAGAAAACTTGCCTCTCACATCTCTTTTAAACTTTCCCCTTTTTACTTTAAGCCTATATCCCCTAGTAGTTGACATTTCTACCCTGGGAAAAAGACTCCAACTATCCATTCTATCCAAGCCTCTCAATTTGTAAATTTCTATCAGGTTGCCCCTCACACTCCAACATTCAAGTGGAAACAAATCAAGTTTGTCCAATCTTTCCTCACAGCTAATACCCTCCAAAGCAGGGAATATCCTGGTAAACCATTTCTGTACCCCCTCCAATACCTCCACATCCTTCAGGCAGGCTGGCGACCAGAACTGTACACAATGTTTCAAATGTGGTCTAACTAAAGTTCAATACAGTTGCAACATGACTTGCCAATTTTTGTATTCTATGCCCTGACCGATGAAGATAAGCATGCCATATGCCACATGTTTAGTTTTGGAAACTTGGTCATTCGACCAAAGGATCTGTTTCCGTGCTGTATGACTCAATGGCCTTTAAAAGATTTCCACGTGCCAAATATGGATTTACCATCAAACAGCCATTCCCCAATCGACATTCCCCAGTTCCTGCCTAATATTATGGTAGTTAGTTTTCCTGCAGTTTAGTACTTCCACCTGAAGACTACTCTTATCCTTAAGTAACTTAAAACTTAAAGAATTATGGTCACTGTTCCCGAAATGCTCCCCCACTGAAACTTTGATCACAGGCTCATTCCCTAATACCAGGTCTAATATGGCCCTGTCCCAAGCTGGACTATTTACAAATTGTTTCAAAAAACTGTACTGGACACTCCTAGCAAACTGCCACTATCCAAGCCCCTGGCATTAAGCGAGTCCCAGTCAATATAGGGACTGCTAAAATCACCCACATCAACCCTGTTGTTCTTATATTTTTCAATAATCTGTCCACGTATCTGTTCCACTCTCACCCACCAGCTGTTGGGACGCCTGTAGTACAATCCCATCAAAGTGATTGTACCCTTTCTGTTGCTGAGCTCTACCCATATGGCCTCACTGGATAAGACCTCCAAGGTATCCTCCCTCAGTACAGCTGTGACATTCTCCCTAATCATAACACAACTCCCCAGACTCATTTACATCCCTCTCTATTCACTTGAAACATTTAAATCCTGGAATGTAAAGCTGTCAATGTTCTTTCCTCGCTGTAATAGCTACAACATCATAATTAAATGCACTAAGGCAAGCTCTAAGTTCATCTGCCTTACCTGTCATACCCCTCAGATCAATACAAACCCAGCTCAGACTGTCGGTTCTGCTGTGTTCGGTAACCTCCCCCGGTCTATTCTTCCTGTTAGTCTTTACTGGTCTTAGTCTCTGACTCCTCCTCAGTCATTTTACTTGCTGACCTACTGAGTTGCTTCTCACCCCTCTGCCACATTAGTTTAAACCCTCCTGAATGGCATTAGCAAACCTCCCTGCCAGGATATTGGTGCTCCCCGGTTTAGATTCCCGAACACAGTGTTCCCATGTGTTTGTTGTCTTCTTCCATCAAGTGGGTAGCAGTGGTGGGTTTGGAATTTAGCTTTGACAGGTTTCTGCAGTGCACCTTGTGGATGGTACAACTGCTACCACTACACACAAGTGTGAGATGGTAGTGAGCATTGAATCCCTACAATGTGGAAACAGGCCCTTCGGCCCAAAAGGTCCACACCAACCCTCGTAGCATCCCACCCCGACCCATCCCTCTATAACCACCTAATCTACACATCCCTGAACACTACAGGCAATTTAGCATGGCCAATCCACCTAGCCTGCACATCATTGGACCATGGGAGGAAACTGGAGCACCCGGATGAAACCCACGCAGACACGGGGAGAATGTGCAAACTCCACACAGACAGTTGCCCGGGTCCCTGGTGCTGTGAGGCAGCAGTGCTAACTACTGAGCCACCGTGCCATCCTGAGGGTGTTAGCTGGGGTGGCAATCTAGTGGGCTGCTTTGGCCTGAATGGTTTTGAGCTTTTTGTGTGCTGTGGCGCTGCACGCATCCAGGTAAGTGGAGGACATTCTATCATATTGCTGAGGAGTCAGAAGGTGAGCTATGATCGGCACTGTGGCTCAGTGGTTAGCTTTGCTGCCTCACAGTGCTGGGGACCCAGGTTCAATCCACCCTCAAGTGACTGCGTGTGTGGAGTTTACACATTCTCCGCATGTCTGCGTGCGTTTCCTCTGGGTCCAGTCCAAAGACGTGCAGGTTAAGTGGATTAGCCATGCTAAATTACACATAGTATCCAAGGATATGCAGGCTAGGTAGGTTAGCCATGGGAAATGCAGGGATAGGATAAGGGCCGGTGGGTTTGGGTGCGATGCTCTTCAGAGGGCTGGTGTGGACTTGATGGGCCAACTGGCCTGCTTCCACACTGTAAGGATTCTATGATTCTATGATGCTGGCCATTGAATTCATAGCCTCTGACCTGCTCTTATAGACACACGATTTATATGGTTCATCCAGTTTAGTTTCTGGTCAGAGTTAGTAACAACACAGATGTTGACAATAGTGGGATTCAGTGATGGTTATACCATTGAATGCCAAGAGGAGACGGTTGAATTCTCTCTAATTGCAGATGGCCATTACTTGGGACTTGTGTGGAGCGAATGTTACTTTTCCCACTTATCAGTGCAAGCTTGAAGGTTGTCCAGCTTTTCCTCCATTTTGACATTTTGCCAACTTCTAATTCTCGTGTGAGAAAATATTCACTGCCCACAGCAGGAGAAAGAGTGAGACAGCAAATTCTTGAAACCCCATGTTCTGATCTAAGAGCTTCACCCAATCCCTGATAAATGTGTATCTCTAGAGAACGGAATTAGAGTCATAGAGTCATAGACATATACAGTATGGAAATAGACCCTTCGCTCCAACTCGTCCATGCCGACCAGATATCCTAAATAAATCTAGTCCCATTTGCCAGCACTTGGCCCATATCCCGCTAAACCCTTCCTGTTCATATACCCATTCAGATGCCTTTTAAATGTTGTGTTTGTACTAGCCTCCACCACTTCCTTTGGCAGCTCATTCCATACACGCACCACCATCCATGTGAAAAAGTTGCCCCTTAGGTCCCTTTCATATTTTTCCCCTCTCACCTTAAACGTATGCCCTCTAGTTTTGGACTCCCCCACCCTGGGGAAAAGACCTTGCCTATTTACCCTATCAATGCCCCATGATTTTATAAACTTCCATAAGATCACCCCTCAGCCTTCCATGTTTCAGGGAAAATAGCCCCGGTGTATTCATCCTCTCACTATAGCGCAAACCATCCAACCCCGGCAACATCTTTGTAAATCTTTTCTGAACCCATTCTAGTTTCACAACATTCTTCCTGGGAGACCAGAATTGCAAAAATACTCCAAAAGTGGCCTAACCAATGTCCCGTACAGCCACAACATGACCTCCCGACTACTATATTCAATGCACTGACCAGCTTTAAGGATGGGTTAATTGGGGGCTGGGTGAACTGAACTGAAATGCTCGGTGGGATAATTCTGACGCTCACTAGCATCACCTGTTAAAACTGAAATCACAAACAGGACTCACTGCGATGTGAGAACATTATCCATAAACGACCGAATAAAGTAAGATTTAAACTCTGGGATCCTGACTGATAGAGAGATCAGCTCATCTCCCACTGTGAAATTTTCCTCTACGTGAAGCTGCCCTTTCCTATCAAGTCATAGATGCAGAGATGACCTTGCCATTGACTCGGCTTTTCCATAGATCTTTACTTTTCACCTTTACTACCACATGAAGAATAGTGTTGTGTCTTATCATACTATAATTGCTCATAACAACCTCTTAGCAATAAATACTATACTTCCATGCTCTGCCATCATGCAGCACCAGTGGCAGAGAAAAAGTACCAAATGACCAGTTTGCACTGAAAGATTCCCATTATGAAATGGGCACACAAAGATTGAGAATGAAATTAAATGTGGACAGAACTTTGAAGCATGTGTCTGTATCCTGGTTCAATTCTTTTCAATTTTTTAAACTAGTTCCACTTGGCGACATCTGAGACTCAGCATTGGATGGCTCCACATTTTCCTAGCACCTAAAGTGGCACCAAAGCTTCCAGTTGGTGGAAACAGAAAATCGAAGGAGGAGTAGGTCATTGAGCCCTTCAAGCCTACTTCACCATTCAAAATAATCATGGCTGATCATCCGACTCAGTCCGCTGTTCCCGCTTTAGCCAAAGTTCCCCCATATCCTTTAGCCCCAAGAACCATCTTTAACTATTTGAAAACATTCAATGTTTTGGCCTCAACTGCTTTCTGTTGCAGAGAATTCCACAGGCTCGGCACTTTAACATAGAACATAGAACAGTACGGCACAGTACAGGCCCTTCGGCCCACAATGTTGTGCCGAACTTTTACCCGAAACCTAAGGTCTATCTAACCTCCACCGCTACCTTATACTATCATCTATATGCCTATCTAATAGCCGCTTAAATGCCCCTAATGAGGCCGACTCCACTACCCTCTCCGGCAATGCATTCCGTGCCCCTACCACTCTCTGAGTAAAGAACCTACCTCTGACGTCTCCTCGATATCTACCCCCTTTCACTTTAAAACTATGTCCCCTCGTAAAAGCTACCTTCACCCTAGGAAAAAGTCTCTGGCTGTCTACTCTATCTATACCTCTGATCATTTTGTACACCTCTATCAAGTCACTAGAACTTTGTAGAAATTTCTCATCTCAGTCCTATTTCAGGAGAAGGTACTTGGTCTAGGAAAATACTACAGAACCAAGGCATTGGGTTCTTTGCATATTTAAAAATAACCATTATACCTGCATGAGGATTCTGTGAATGCAGCCGCCACAAGCATCAAGTCCTCAAGAGAATGGCAGAGAGGCTCCTTCTGACAAATTCAGACTCCACACAGCTGGTAGGAGTATTCAAATTATTTATTTCTCCTGGCTCCACATTCTAACCATTCAACGCTGTTGCTGCCCAACTCCGATTCCAACCTCATCTCCCCTTTCCATCACCACCTCCACCCCTGACCTGATTGCCCCCACCTCCTCTACGTCACAATTGCTGTTCCCCTTATCACCTAGTCATTCCTCCATTGATTGGTCTCCTTCTGAATCACTCCCTCTCTCCATTGCCCAGTTCTTGTTCACTGTCTCTCCATTGCCTGCCCTAGGTCAGCCCAGTGCCTGTTTGTTGTTTCCCCAGTGTCACCTGATTCATGATGGTGGTGAGTTTATCAGCCTCGCAGTCAATGATGACGTGCCTATCCTTTCTCTTGTCCAAATCTTTAAAGAGCATCCGGTAACCTTCTTCAGTGGTGGTCTCAATACTGACTGCTGTTACTTGCCAGTTCTTCTCTGCAGCTGTGTCCAGCACCTTCTGTAGTACAGACAGTCCTGACCAGGAACAAAGGAGTTGAACGTTCAACACAGACTCTGCCATCAAAGAAAAGCAGCATTCAAATGATCCTTCAACAGGCTCACCATTCTCTGGGTAAAGAAATTTCTCCTCATCTCCCTCCTATTTAAGGAGAAGTGCTTACGTTCCCTATTTAACGTTCTCTAATTACATTCCCACCGCCAACCTCCAAAACAGATCTCTGATATTGGGAGATTTCTGTGAAAGTTCAAAACTTTTCATTTTTGACTCAATTCTGTTTTCCCATGAGTACAGTGGCTAAAAATTAATAAAGAGATAAGATTAATTGTCCTTTGGAAAATCATGGGATAATGAGGGTGTTTAAAATGATTTGTGTTTGACTGGTTTTGAAGTAATGGAGAGGATCGATGAGGGAAGTGCAGCTAATGTTGTCCATAGGGGCTTTTGACAAAACAGCCAAAAAATTGGCTTTTAAAAACATTAAACGTTTTGGGATTGAAGGGACAGTGGAAGTCAGAATATTAAAATGGATAAGAGTCAGAGAAAAACAGTGAGCAGTTGCTTTTTGGACTGAAGAGAAGGATGCAGTGGTGTTCCCTATGGTCACTATTAGGACTGTTGTTCTTTTTGACATATTATTGACAAACCTGAGGCATAATATCAAGTGTTCAGGTGAAATGAAATTCAGAAATGCAGTAACCAGTGAAAAGGCTAGTAACAGGCTTCAGGAAAAGCTAGGAGCAAATTACTGCAGTTTCTGGAATCTGTACTGAAAAGAAAAAGTGCTGGAAATCACAGCAGGTCAGTCAGCATCTGTGGAGAGGCAGCAAGCTAAATTTTTGAGTCTAGGTAACTCTTCATCAGAGCTGACTCGAAATGTTAGGTTGCTCTCTTTCTACAGATGCTACTTGACATGGTGTGATTTTCAGGAAAACCTAGACAGTGCAGTGAAGTGGATAGACACATGGTCAACAAAATGTGATGCAGGGATGCATGAAGTGATAGATTTTGGTTGGAAGGCAAGGAGAGGTAGTTTGAATTAAATTGTGCAATTTTAAAGAGAGTGCAGAAACAGAGATTTGGTGACGTATGTATAGCAATCTTTGGAGGTGTCATGACAAGTTGAGAAGTTTGTTAAAAAATAGCTCTTCTGGGTTAGTCAGAAAATCAGTCAATTAGAGGGCTGCACTGCATGACAAGAGGACATTGATCTGGTCTTTGAGAGAGTTATGCAATTCCTCCACAGCCCTGCAAATTTCTAATTTTTATTCAGGTGTGACTGCAACTTTAACAAAACCACACTGACATTCAGTAATTAGTTGATATTTATACAACTTCTCACTCCTGCAGTCCATAATGAAATGCTTCCCCACAACCAACACTAAACAGACTGGTCTGTAGTTCCTTGGTTTCATCCTCCTACATTTTCCCGGCATTAGCACATTTCCAATTTCATGCACAATTTCCAAATCTGAAAGGCATCAACATATTAATGAGTGAGCCATAATATTTACAGGGAATTTGTACTATATTGTGAAGTTATGACAGTAGTTATGGCATGACTTGCAAAATGATTTGATGGAGGATGGGATGAAGGTTTATTTACCGCGATCAGCATCGTAAATATACACAAACTTCTGCCATTTGTAATGTTCGATGAGGTTGAGCAGAGCAGTCTGTAGGTCAGGTCTCATCTGAATGACAAACTGGTTGGAGGTATCAACGGGGAAGCTGGGAGTGATGAACGAGAGGTGCAGGGCTCCACAAAACGATGTGAGTGTGTTTACCGTCTTCCTGTCGTAAAACCCAAAGATCGCATAGACTCCGCGAGCGAACAGCGAGCAGACTGAAATAAAAAATGCAACAGCAAATGACATTCTGTCCGTCACAAAAACTCAAGAGGTTTCATCTTAAATAAAATTACTTGGCAAATAAAAGGTGTTGGAAATTGGCAATGAAAACATTAGAGTCTCACAGATAAACATTTCTGCTGGGGTCTTGTCAGAACAATCTAGGTCAACAATCAAAATCTAAGCAATGAGTGAAACTTTGGTGCTTCCAACCGAAGATCTCTGCTGGACCTAAGTTACCCACCTGTTTGTCCAGTATCCAATCCTCCAACTTCCTTCAATTACATTTCGGGCTAGATTGAAGGCAATGTATTTAGTTCCTGTCACAAGCTCCACTCCCTAGCGACTAATGCCATCCTGGTCTGTTGCTGAATCAGACTGTTCATAACTTTGGCATCATATTTGACTCCAAGATGTGCTTCTGACTACATATCCATTCCATCATCAAGACAGCTGCATCATCACCTCTGTAACATGCCCTACTCTACCCCTGCCTTATCTCATCAGTTGTTGAAGCTCTCAGCTGTGCTTTTACTATATCTAAATGTGTCTGTTCTAATCCACTTTTGATGAACTTCCCAATTTCTTCCCGCTGTAAATATGAGGTCACTCTGCTGCCCTTTCCTTACTTGTGCCAAGTTCTGTTCACCCATCATCCTGTGCCCCGATGTTTACTGTCCTCCATTGGCTACTGCTTAAGTAAACCAACTTGGAGGAACCTCCTCTTTAAAGGGATGCAATTCTTTGAGAACACCCATCCGCAAGAGGATGTACAGAAAAGTAAATCAGAAAAAGGAATGCCAGCAATCCCAAGGCCAAGGACCAATTCCACCTCCTGGAAGTAATTGCCGAACGTGAGGTTGGAGATGTAGCTCTCGGATAGAGCCATCAGCCATACAAGGACCCACTGAACCCAGGAGCAGTGACATGGAATATCTTACATGGACAGCCATATTTATTAGCAAGTGACTGCCAATGACTGCTTAGGTAATGTCTCAACTTTAATATTTTCATTCTTAGCTTCAAATCTCTTCATGGACTTATCTCCTATTTACGATTTCTGTAAGCCCCTCCAAACACGTAACCCTCCAAGATTCTGAGCTCATCCAACTCTGGGCTTTTGAACATCTCCAAATCTAAGTCCTGATGAAGAGTCACCAAACTCAAAACATAAACTCTGCTTTCTCCCCACAGATGTTGCCAGACCTGCTGAGTTTCACCAGCAATTTCTGTTTTTGTTTCTGATTTCCAGCATTCACAGTTCTCTGTTTTAAACAATGTTAAGTGTTTTGTCTTCAGTTGCCCAGGCCCTGTGCACTGGAATTTCTCCCCTTAGCCTGCTGATAGCTCTACATAATTATGCTTCTTTGGTGTATTCAGACATTTGAGTACTTTAATCAAAAATTTGGCCATCTGACCTAATATCTTCGTTTGTGCCTCAGTGGCAGATTTGCTGGAAGTGTTCCTGTGAAGCACCTTGGAATATGTGATGGCATTAAAAATGCTGCATAAAAGCATGTTATCGTTGCAATTTATTCTTAGGATGTGGGCATTATTGAAAAAGCTGGCATTTAAAAAAAAATTAAGGAGTAGGCTACAATGGATGATTGTAAAGACTCAACTTCGCTTTCCTGCCCAATCTCTGTTGATTCCCTTAAAACTTCAAAAAATCCACTAATCTCAGCCTTAGATACACTGAGCAACTGAGAATCTTCTCTCTGGGGTGCAAAGATTTACAAGCTTCTGAATGAAGAAATTTCTCATCTCAGATCCAGTGGCCTCAGCATCTACCATGTCAAGTCCCTTTCAAATCTTTGTGAGAAATTTGTTCACAGGGTGCCAATTTCAGTGTTGATTATTGGTCAACCATGACCAGACAAAATTTCTTATTCTGACCTTGTGGGAGTGGTCCTATAAAGTCCATTTGAATGTGTTCCCATGGTTCCCATGGGTGGGGCTGATGGTTTATTTTAATTTTAATCCCCTGTCCTGGTTCTGTCTGCGCACATGCAGTGCACCTCTGACAAAACTTAGTTATGTCTCTTCCCATTCCTTTCTACGATCAATAATTAGATATTAGCTGTATTATTTCATCCCTCCCTGCATGTGTTAATCCATAGTAAACACTGCATAGGGTCTGTTGGCAGAATGTGGGAGCCACCGCTTTACTTTCCCTTCTCCAAATATCATCTGCTCCTAACGCTGCCCCGTCTTTAATCCATCCTGCTTTTTCCGCTGAGCTAGCTGCAGCTTGTAAATTTAAAATATTCCATTCATCAAATTTGGCTTCTTGCTCTCTCTCAGCTGCTATCATTATTGCTTCCTGTTCTAACATTGCTTTTGCTGCGCTGTCTGCGTAGTCGTTCTGATCTGGTGTCTGGATCTTTCTGTGTGTTCTTACTTTAATTATTGCTGCCTCCTTTGGTTCCATAGTTGCAGCCATTATGTCCTTGACTAGGGTCTCATGCTGAGTTACACTACCACTCAAGGTAACGTAACCTCACCTTGCTCATGCCATCATGTAGTCATGGACTACTCCAAAGGCATACCTACTGTCTGTGTAGATGTTAACCCGTTGTCCTCTCTCTAGCTTGAGAGCAGCAGTAACTGCTTTTAGTTCAGCTACCTGGGTGGAGTGACATCCTTCTATCCTTTCTTTGCTAAGAGCTTCCCTTTCAAATTAACTACGGCCCACCATGTCTGGGCCTCACCATCATAATACTTCCGTGCTCCATCTACAAACATGCATTTTACCCCTCTAATGGCTCTTTCTTATCTCAACCCTGTCTCTCTTCTTCCTGCTCCATGAAGAGGATACAATCATGTGTTTCTCCTTCCTGATTCACAAAGCTTGCTGGGTTCTCACTATTATCTTTAACCACTTCCACGTGCTTGTCTCCTGGCAACAATGTGGCTTCCCATTTGGCTCGCCGACTGTCTGTAACACCTCTCAGTCAGCTGGACTATACTATGCGGAAAGTATCATCTCACCTTCCCTAGTTGTGCCAAGGGGGAGGATGTCGTTAGTGCCCAGGTAGCACACTGGATAGCTCGAACACACAAGTGTTGTCCCATCATGACTGGATTCATTTCACCTGAGTAGTATCCCACAGGCCAGAGCTTGTCTCCGTGTCTCTGTAACTGCAGATGGATTGCCATTGCTTTCACTGCAAAAGAGGTGAAAGGGCTTTTTCAGGACAGGGGGTCCTAGTGCTGGAGTTGAGGCCAGTGTCTGTTTGATGTGGATAAAGGCTGTCTCCTGCTCAGATCCCCATTCAATTTTCTCTGAGCTAGCCTGGCCCCCTTTAGAAGGTCTTCCGGGGGGTCTGGCTAGATCTCTGTAATTTTCTACAAAGCTCCTGCAATAGTTAATTAGTCCTAAGACTTATCTTACCCCTTTAACAGTGACTGTCTTTTTCATTTCCAATATTGCACTTTTTCTTTCCATTGGGATGTTACGGCTGCCTTGTGTGGCTATCTGCGCTAGGTAAGACATTTCTGGTTTGCCTAGCAGTGCTTTCTTTGGGTTTACTTTTAATCCAGAAGCTTTGATGGTTTTTAACACTTTCAGTACTGTCCTATAGTAGTTTCCTCAGTAGTAGAAGCGTTCAGAATGTCTCTACGTATTGTAATATTACACACTGTGTTTTGGGAACTTTTCCTGTTACATCTGCCATTGTCTGGTGGAACCCCTGTGATAGCACACCTGGATGAGACTATCTGTTACCTACAGTAAAGGCAAATTTATACTGGTGTCGAGGTCAATAGGCTCAACCCAGAACCTGCTTGCTATTTCTAGGACTGTAAAGAGCTTAGCTTCTGGCCCTATATTTCTGGTGTTGGGGTCTGCCACAATAGGCACCATTTTATCTGTGTATTTGTTGAGACTGGTATAGTCAATTGTATGATCGATCAGGTGTTTTTTCACTGGACAAATTGGGGACTTAATAGTGGAACAAGTTTCTTTTACTATTCCCTGCTCCTCTAAAACATTTACAATTTCTTTACCTGCCTCCATGGCTTCAGGTCTCATGGGGTACTGTCTTTTAGGTGGGTATACATTCCCAGATATTTCAATCGGTTTGATGTCCAATCTTCCGCACTCGGTTTTGGTAGTTGCCCATAATTCAGGGCACATCGTTACTAACTTCTGGTAGGGATTCTCTGAATCCCATTCCCATTCAATTATGGTGGCACAGACAATCTTAAAGAAGCATGCAATTCTCCATGTTCCAAATTTAAACCAGCCATCCCAATAAATTTTAGCTTTGTGTATGTTAATTACAGCTCCAAATTGTTCCAGTAGATCCATTCCTAATACACTGCCTTCAGTATTTTTACACACATAGGTACAAATATTGATCATATAACCTGCAATTTCTATTTCAATCCATTGGCTGGGAGTGGCTGGTTAAGTCCCACTGCCCACACCCTGGTTTCAAGGTTTTATTTGTCAATGGTAAATCCAGATCTGTAATAGAGATAGATGTTCTGGCGTCTATTAACATACTGCACTGCTGGCCCCCTAACAGTGTGTTTATATACATCTGGTTATCCCCTTCCCTTTGTTCGAGGGCCGTAACCCATCACTTGTCCATGATTAGTTTCTGCAACTCTCCTGCTCTAAGTTGTATGACAGTTTGGTCACTGCTGTTGCCATTGGCAACCGGCTGGGGGTTTCCTTGTCCGTATCTTGGTTCCCCCCCCACTCCACTTTCTTTGTATGCTGTGAACTTGCGTTCGGCACAGTCTTCCACTGGCTCCCCTTTTTTCTGGATGACCAAGGTTACTTTTGTCCAATTTGGGGCGGGTTTGCCAATTTCTGGGCTGCTGTTCGTCTGGCTAGACCTGTGATCCAAGCGCGGTTGTTGAAGGGTGCCGCTACATTTCCCCACACTGCCCTGGGGATTTTGGCTTTTGTGAGGTTTTGTAGGTCATCAAGGGTCAGTCTATGCCCCTCGGCAAGCTCTTCTAAGTTTTCCCAGAATTCCAAGTT